GGCTGATTGAGCAAGTGTGGCAAGCGTTGCGGCCTCTTTACTTTGCTTGCTACATCCAAATCTGTGTACCTAGATATTTATATTGTGCATATGTATATGCATATGTACACACTGGCGGGTATTACCCGGCTTTGCTCGCGACAAGTATTTGATATTCCTCTTCCATCAATTTACCGCCCTTGTGACACTTAAATTATATTTTATCTAGATACTTTATTCTTTTATAATGTGGAGTTTATGGGAAAGAGAAAGAGAGACAGAGAAAAAGTAACAAAGTTCTTTCATAAAGGGTTTTAGGTCGATCGTATGAAAACAAAACAAAAGTTTTATGCAACCAATTTCCGCCAATTTTTCACAGTTGCGGATGGAATTGTCCAAAATGCCGTGCGTTGATCACCAAAAAGTCAGTCTGGATTGACAGATACTTATATATGCCTATATATAGATGGATATATTCATGTTTATATATTTATGCTTGCGTGTATTTTGATGTGGCGTCTTCTTGTTGCAAGGCTATTCAGAGAAACTTATTTATTTTTTTAGCTGCCTTTTTAATTTGCTTAATTCATTTTACTCTGAAATAGAATTTGTTCGCCGAATACTTGAAGTTAATTTGTTTGTTAATAAACATTTTCGGCTGCTTTTGAACTGGCTCGTTAAATCCTCTAGTGGTTTTTTACTTGAATTTCGTAAAGGCCGTTCCCAAACAATTTATGCATACTGTATACAAATAAATACGTATGTACATTAAATAGTTTAGATATGCATATAGCTATATTTCTATATTATTTTCTATGTATTTAAACTCAAAAACTGCGGGTCGTTTGAATATTCATTGTCGGCGATAAGAAAATTTCACGGAATTTCGGTTTTGCTGTTGGTTCAAAACCCCAAAAAAGAAAATACTTTTATTGTGAAATGAGCTTTGCTTTTTATTTTAAAGTATTTTCAACAGTCGTTCAATAAATTTTGTATTTGTCCAATTTACTTGTGATCTTAAGAGAGTTTTTTAGACCAAGTTATTTTCTCGAGATTCATATCTAAATACAAAAATAAACCCAACTTATAACTAATTTATCCCATCGATTGAATAAGAGTAGTGCTAAAAAATGCATAAATTAGAATAATAATCACATTTATCGATCGCAGTTAAATACCTATCGATTATCTTAATCGATATAAACAAAGTATTACTAAATTTCTCGGGTAAAATATTGATTTTTATCGATTGATCAATCGAGTTTCGCAAAATGTTATCGCCAGCTTTAGAGCTTCCATCCATCTAGTTATCGATAGCGATAGTTTATCGATCTCTCGCATCACTCTTTTCGCTCATTTTAAATCACAATCACCCAAGAGGCTGCCTCTATTAACCCGAACAATCAAGCACAGTTTCTATTATTTTCATTCAAAGTCCTCAGTTTTCCAAACGTGGCAGAAATTGAACGAATTGTCTTTCGTTTCGGCCTTAGCTCTAGGCCAGATTGGCGCCCACAAGCAACAGGAAACCGCAACTAATAGGCGTCGAGAGATGTTTTCAGTCATGCGGTTTTGGCTTCAGTTTTGACTCTGGCTGTGACTTTGGCCTCCATCGCCCACTCGGGCAGCCCGCAGCGAAATGTTTTGCAAATAGTCAACTTACCGCTTTCATGGGGGCCTTTTGTGTGGGATACGGGCGTGGCACTCGCCCGACCACACAAATATATATATATATACACAGTCTGACGTCAGTATACCCTTTATTTGTGTGTCTTGAATGCAAACATAAGTATGTCTGTTAAAATAGTTTGTTTAATTAAATTTCCATTTCATATTTGCGTTGTCTGGAAAGTTGCTTGAACCAATTGAGAATTATAAGTGCAAAACTCTGTCTCTGCGCTATTCTTGCAACTGCTTAGCTTGCACAACTTTTACAGGGTATGGCAAACGGAAATGTAACTGGCCCCCCTTCTGTCCAGTAATAAAATGTAATGGTTCGCCGGTTAGACAACACGTCACAATGCGCTCACCCATAACTCCTTCTACCATGGTGGGCTGAGGGGGGGGGGGGGGGGGGGGGGGGGGGGGAAGAGCAGAAACAACGTTACCCTCGTCGCCCCTCCACTCCAGCCCCTGCCCTATATAATGTTAACGTTACGCTTCGCCAAACACTTGGAATTTCAATTTCATTTCGAAAGACGTCGACAACGCCTCATAAGATCGGCGTACTATATGCATAACTTACGGAATGTTTGCTTTTACCTTAAATGCTTTAGTTTTTCTTTGCTGCTGCTTCTTCTTCTTCTTCTTCTTATATTGATTACAAAAGTCGCAAACGGATGTGAAGAAATGCACTCGCATTTTGGGGTGGGTTGGCGAGATGCTTGGCTAGGGTATCCGAGGGCTTGGCACGGCTCGTGGGCTTGGGCTTGTGCCTGGGCTTTCGATTGCCCCTTTGCCAGTGTCTGCCAAACTGTACGCACAGTTTTTTTTAATTGAAATTGCAGACGGCAAATAATTTCCGGCCATGAAATTCGAGTGCACCCTTTTCCTTTTTTTGTTGTTGTTGTTTTTGACGATGGCCTCACATCAGCAGCTGCGCACGGGGAGATGCTCTTTAATCTAATTAAGTGGGTTGGGCCTCTGCCGGGCTAACGAACGAGCGATAATGATGACAATGACAATGATGTAGATAATGATGATGATGATAAAATGCAGATTATGTCCCATGAGTCCCGTGGGTTATGACCGTAGGAACTTTCTCTTACAATTTCGCCACATATGCATATACAAGCCATCTATATAATTGTAAATGACGCTTAATTAAAGACTGAAATTTTTCGATAATGCTCTCATTTTCAACAGATTGTTTTTATGGAAGTCATATAACTGCGATTTGTTACGGTTTACGGAGAAACAGCAACCTTTTCCATGCAGAATCTCATATTTTGATCGATTTTTCCTATACATGTTAATTGATAATTAATAACAAAGAAAACCTCCTGACGAAGTGTTTCATTCAACAGCTTAATTTTCGACCGATTTTTTGAATGCCAGCTACATGATATAGTGATCCGATCAGACCGATCATATATCACATATGTCGAATGTACTGCCTGCAACAAAAAGTTAACTCAAACTGCATTGTCCAAGCTAACTTCCAGTTTGCGCTCCTAAAATTTAAAAATATATGTAATTTTAGGTATAACCCTACTATGTGATTCTCACGAATTTAAGTAAGAGCTACATGTCTCATGCCTGCATGTATGTATTATGCATTCGTATTTACAAGTTTTGGTGTCTATATAATAAACTTAAATTTTTGTATGTGAGTGTGGATGTGTGTTTGGGTGAGTGCGTGTGTGTATGCAGTATGTATGTGTGTGTTCCTATGGAAGTATGGGTGCATCTATGTGTGTATGCATGTATGTACCTATGTTTATGGATATTCAAATGCAAGCATGTGGTTGTGTGTGCAAATAAATATATGTTTATATGCATGCAAGTATATATGTACATGTGAACATATGCTTGTCAGTTCACATGTACATATGCAAGTATGTATTTATGTATGTACATATACATGTATGTACATATGCTTGTATTTACATAAGTACGTGTGTATCTATGTTGTCTTACACCAAACGGAAAGTTAACTTTCGCTGCGCTCTTAATTTAGATAAAACGTATTTTTAACTCTCGCCTTACTCTGCGATTCTCATATATTCAAGTAAGCCCTTCAGATTTTCATGCGTTGATTTTAAGTGTTGTGTTCTAATTACCCTCATATATGCATATGTATATATATATATATATATATATATATGTGTGTATGCATATGTGGGTGTATAAATATAAATATGATTAATTGTGTATGATTGGCATCTATGTATGTAAGAACACTCACACATGTTCCACAATCTATTCATCATTGCAAACATACATACATACATACATACATACATACATACATATGTATGTATATATATATATATATATATATATATACATATCAATATTTAAAAGAGTATTTTCTTTGCCCAATGTCCACATTATTGAATAATATATGCGCCCAGTTTGTTGACTGAGATCTGATAAATACATATACACACATACATGACATGGGGATCAAGGGTATTAAGGTGTTATTTCTGGCTTGGAATTCTGAATTAGTGTGGACTACGAATTGCGACTGCTTTGTTTTCGCTTTTGGTTCATTCGCCTTTGGCTTCCTGGTTGACTTTGCTGTCCCTTTCAGGACCCTGCAACTGACTTTTGTTTACTTACCTTATGCAAATTTCTGTTGGCACGCGCCCCAAGCAAGCCAACCCCCTCGTTGAGGGCAGCTTGTGCCCGCGTCCGCGCCCCCTCGTCCGCGCTAACGGGTTCAAAAAACTTTTGGTGACATTTGGCCGGAAAGCGGGACAGGCTGTGCCTTTAATTGCTTGCATGGTGTTTGAGGGTGGCGACTCCCCTTGGTAAGAAGGAGGGGGTGGGTGGTAGGGGGGAATGTTGGGTGGTGGTATTTTGTCTTGTGCTCAGCTATGCACTTGGCGTAACAATATTCTTATTGATTTTCTTGGCTTCTGTTTTGTGTTTATGTTGTGTTTTGGTAAAAAGCAAGTCACTGGGTCGCCTGCCAGGTGGTTGTTGCTTGCAGGAGGAGGAGGAAGAGTAGAAGTAGGTTGCACAAGAAGGATGGAGAAGTAGCTTCCCAAGCAAGGAGGATGAGGTTGCACGAGCAGGAGGCGGAGGAGGATGAGGAGTAGAAGGTTGCAGGCGCCACCGGCAGAGGGCACGGAATTTATGACAGCAATTATTTATGAATACCAAATTTGTTTGGCGCGTTGCCAAAGCGCGCGCACCCAAATAGACAGACAGAGAGTCAGACAAGAAACCGGGCTGAAATCGGATATGGAATTGTGAAATACAAATGCGAAGACACGAATATATACTGAAGTTAGGCTATGCCATCTAAAAATACACAAAAACTTACTTGTACTTTCGTACCTTCATTACAGACAACGCGCCGGGCTCTCAAGGCCGCCCGAAAAAAAGTGGAAGCCCCTTCCCCCTGTCCTCAATAAGAATAACAAGAGTTATCGCTAGGCGCATCGGGAAATATGTCAGGGCGCAGAAGTCAGACACAGATGGCGCCACCGCCGCCGCCGCCCAAGCCGAGCAAGTCTCAGCCAAACGGCAATGGCGCCCTGCCGAATGGCACCGCCAACAACAACAACAACAATTATAACAACAGTTACAACAGCAATAAAAGTGTCGCAGTGGCAACGGCAGCGGCAGGTGACTGGAGCCAGCGGCAGAGCCTAGACCAAAATCGGAGCACGACTCCGCAGAACAGCAACGCCGCCCGCAGGAGTCAGACGCCGCCGCGCACAGAGCAGGTCGTAATGACGCCACGTGGCAAAACGGCCAACAGCACCGTTATACTCATCGAGAGGAAGCTCGTCGATGAGATCAACGATCGTGTCCATGTCGCTGGCGGGGATCATACGGGCATCATCATTAACAAGGACACCGTTGCCGGCCAGAAGAGCGCCAGCAAAGCGGCCGCCCTCTCGCTGGAGTTTCGGGTATTCCTTGTCAGCGCCAATACGGGCAAACATTCGCAGGAGTCGCGCACGCTGAGATTCTGGTTTCGGGATTGGCTGACAAACGATGAGAAACAGGCGCACATTGCCCAGGACTTTTTCAAGGAGCTTGTCAGTCCGCAGGACTTTCCCAGAGGTAACCATACAGAACCAATCTAAAGCTATATTCAAATTTATATCTATCTAACACAAACTCGCCTTAATTCTGCGTCCAATTCAATTTCTACATAATTTCTCGAACTTTTTCATTAGAGAAGGAAAATATCCAGGTCTTGGGGCTTTATTTAAAACAAAAATGAAAAGAAAATTTGGTTCTATTTTTTATATTTTGCCGACACACAATATTTTGATATGCAACATTCTTTGAATATTCATAAAAATTATTTACTTATTTAACAGTTTGTAAAATTCAATCATATTTTTGTCTAAAACTTCTTTTTACCAATTGAGCTCTTTACTTTCACTAAATTTGGAAAAGAATATTATATTCTTCTTCAGAATCTTATGAATTACAATAATCTTTTCTGATACATTTTTTTTCTATAATAAAATAGTATATTTAAATTTCTTTTTCATCTATGCTCAAATATCCGATTTGAATAACTTAATTTTCATGTTCTAAACTAAATTTTCAAGCTTGCGGAAAATTCTATAAATAATAATAATTTTCATATTGATTTTGGCAACGTTTCCATTTTTTTTTACAATATAGAGAGGCTTAATTTATTAAAAAATGCATTAAAAAATAGTTTTTCTAGTTTTTAATAATTTAAAAAAAAAAAAATAAAATAATCTAAAAAAAAAGCTGCATTTCCATCAGTTGCGAGCTAATTCATTTTTTTGTTTGCAATTTTTAAACAAAAAAAAAAAAAAAATAGTTGAAAAATTTATTACAATTTGTTTTTTTCTATAATTCAATTAAAATTTGTTAATTCAAGCCGAATGCAGAGTATTACGCGCTGCACAAAGAATTTTAATTAGGTCATAAAATTAAAGCGAGCAGCAATTAGATGATATCTATGTAGATCCATGTGTGTGTACGTGTGTGTGTGTGTGTGTGTGTACGTTAACTGATTGCATGTACATATTGCAGATTATGTTGGGTTTATCAAGAAGATAATGAAGCTCTTGCAGCATGGCTACACCGAGATACAGTCCATAGAGATCGAGCTGCGCATCTTGGAGGAGACATCGGCGCCTCCGTCACGTCCACGTAAGTCAACTGTGCAGCAAATTCTCTCTTACTTTTCTTTTGTTTTTGGCTCTCTCTTTCCCTCTCTCTCTCTCTCTATTACTTTATTCGCCTGTGTGTATATTTTCTCTCTCTCTCTCTATATCTTGATTTGACATCTGGTGTCTTTGATATATATATATGTATGTATGTATATATATATATATATATATATATATATATTCGGGCGTGTGCGCAGCGCGCGATGGCTACATCATCTACTGCTACGGGGACTGCAATCGCAAGTTCGAGGAGGCGCTGCTGGCGCAGAAGAAAACAGGTGATGGCGACAATCTGATGAAGGCCATTTGGCTGGACATGTACACTGAGCAGCTGAGCGCCCGCCGCAAGTGATCCGCTGCGGCTGCAGCGACTGCTGCGACTGCTTTAAATGCCAACTAATCCTCGCCAGGCAGCCAGTCCAAACCCATCCGGGCGGCCAGCTTGAAAAACGAAAGCAAAACCTAAAGCAAAACCAAAAAATAACAAAACAACTGTTTGTTTTTTTTTTTTGTATATTGCCTTGTCGAGCGTTTTCTTCTTGTGGCTGTTTTCTTTGTTTTATTGTTCTGTTTATCGTTTGTTTTCCTGTTTCCTGTTCGTTCGCTCGTTCGTTCGTTTTACTAATGCACGCACTTTGTCTATGGATTATTAAAATAGAATAACAAAACGCACTGAGTTTTAGTACAAAATATACATACGATAAGCAATACTAAAACAAAAGAAATAAACTCTTAAATAACAATTAATGAGCCTAGTTGCTATCAAACTGTAAACAGCTGACTCTCAAACTGTTGTGTAGCATTGACTGCAGCTATTCCCCCCGCTTGCTGTTGTGTTCCACTAGCCTTTAAACTGTGTTGGGCGCATTGCCCTTAGATGGCGCTCAAACTGTTGCTTTCCAGTGGCATTAAAACTGTTTGGAAATGTTTTGTGTATTCAGCTAACCCGCTTGCTGTTGTTTCACACTAGCCTTCAAACTGTTTTCGGGCACATTGCCCTCAGCTGCTCCCCAAACTGTTGCTTGCCAATGGCTTTCAAACTGTTTTTTGCACTGTGCATCGCGGCCATTGCCTTCAATGCTGGGCAGCCTACTGCCACGCCCACTCATGCCCGGCGTTCATAGACACCGTGAGTAGAGACTCAAGTGCCCAATTTGTCTGGTGCCTGCAATTAAGTTAATGCTGCTAAAGAGTTTTTAAACGCAGCCAACACCGTGTGCTAACCCATGCCTTAACCACGCCCATTGTAAATGTAGCATCTGCCGCCTGCCAGCCGCCCCTCAACAAATTGTAATCATTAACGCCACTCGAGAGACTTAATTAAAAGTATTTAAAAATAAGAAAATCTTGTATCCTTTTCTCTCTCTCTTTCTCTGGCTGGGCGCCAACAGTTTCCCTGGAGGAATCACAATTTGAATCTCCACCGTTGACACAGGAGAAGGTGCTTGAACTCATTGAGCAGGCTTATCCGAATCCCGTTTCGCCCGAGGATTTGGCCAAGTAAGTATATGTGAATCCATGTAAGCAAAACATGCCTAACCCATCTCCCTCTCTCTCTCTCTCTCTCTCGCTCGATAGGGACTATGGCTGGAGCGAACAAGATGTGCTGTTGGTCATACAATCGCTGCAGGAGCGCGGCCTCATCAAGTCGATGGAGTACAATGCCTACACGCGCATCCATCACGAGGATAAGGAGATTAAGGTGGTCAAGCAGATGCCGACGATAGCCTCGAATAAGCAGCCCACGATTGCCATCATAACGGCGCAGTATTGTGAGAAGCTGGCCGTGGACGCCATGTTGGAGAATAAGGAGACATTTGTCCGTTATACCACAGTCGGTAGGTGGCGCCACTGGCAAAAGTGCTTAGTGCTCGCGACGGAATGTGTTAACTCTCTTTTTTCTCTCTCTCATCTCTCTCCCTCCCGTTCTTTTTACCGTTGCTCTTTTGTACTCTTACTGTTACGGTTTACCAAACATTCACATGATCAAAAAAAAAAAACGAATGCTGAATGCATTTGCATATTGTTTGCTTGCCCCTCCCCTCCCGCCCGCAACCGGTACCGCAAAATTATTAACCAATTTATCAATTACTTTTCGAACACAAAATCAATATATATGTACAAATATATATATAACAGATTCCGATCCCAATCTAACGAACTCACTCAGAAAATCCAAAAAGAAACGCAGATTTGGTAAGCACCCCGTCGCCTTCAATTTACATAGCCATATAAAATTAATGTAATCTGTGCTCAGGGTCAAGTTCACATCAATTTCTGAAAGTTAATTTGCCATCAATTTAAAATATCTGCGTACATATATGTATATGTGTACAGATATGAGTAAGGTATAGAGCTAATGTAAAAGTGATACCAGTTTTGGGCATTTAACAGTGCGCTGTTATATAAATTACAGCGATGTTATCCAGAACTGTTAATTGAATTTTGGTTTACATATTTCATTTATGTTATTTTAATCATTATTCATATGCTTAGTTCAAACAGTATTCGAGCTATTTAATATATTGCGATTCTGCTTAAACACTTAAAAAATAAAAGCTTAAGAAAAACAAAAGAAATTTAACATGCAACATAATAGAATATATTTGTTATTAAAAAACTATGATATATAAAAATAGTGTATAATCTATAGGTACGGAATATCTAAAAGTTTTAATGGAGTGCAAAAACATTTGCGAATTATTTGTGAACTTGACCTTGTGCTTTATTATTGTTGTTGTTGCGTCAGCGTTGCTTATTGTCTATTAGTATAATTGTTGTTGTTGTTAACTTTAAGGTGTTTTGGTTTATTATCAGTTGTAAGACTGCGGGCCAATCGGTTAAGCATTAACTTTTACTCTAGCTGCAAAGCTATCATTGTTGATTGTCGTCGTCACGCACATGATCCACAACAAACACTCACTACATAGCCTAAGGGACAGTCACGGATGCCACAGCGCAAACCACTTCATCCACACCCACACACCCACATACACACACACCCCACACACACAGAAACGTGTACATAGTTGCCCACATCCGACATACCCATATGCCGTATCCATACTTGTAAAGCCAGCACAGCTAATTATTTTGTTGTTGTCTCTATCTCCCGTTACCGTTGTGGATATGCACCACAGGCGAATCGAATGTGTATACTCTGGGCAATATTGGAGCACATCGGATAGTGAGCACAAAGCTGCCGTCGGTGGGCAGCACGCGGGAGGCGATGACGGCGACGGGCAATACGACAACCAGATTGCTGGGCACATTCCAAAAGGTTGACTATGTTTTCATTGTGGGCGTGGCTGGCGGCGTGCCGCACTACACGGACTACAAGAAGCACGTGCGACTGGGCGACGTGGTCATCTCGTATGTGGACAAGCAGCGTGCGCTGATCAACAGGTGCGTCCAATTCAATACCCAAATGGCAGCCAATGCTAATTGCTCCAATCGTTTTTATTTGTTATATGTGCAGCAAGGAGAAGCCGTATGTGTATGTGTACAAAAGCGGCGAAGATGTTAAGACATATTTCCCTGTCAACGATTCGCTGCAGCAGATTGCGGAGAGCCTACAGGCGAACATGGAGCTAAAACGCCCCTGGGAAACATATCTGGGCGATGCACAGCAAACACTCGCCCAAAAGACGGACAGCGACTTTGGAAGGCCGGACGTCAAAACGGATAAACTATTTATGAACATTGGCAACAATGAGGTCATCGAGGTGGCCCATCCAATTGCCGCTGATGAGATTAACGGCGTGACGCGGCTGCGTCTGCACCTGGGACCCATCGGCTCTGGCAGAGATTTGGTGCGAAACGACGATCTGCGCACCCAGTTTGCCCGTAAATTTGGACTGCTCGCCACCGATGTAGAGATGAGCAGTGTCCTGGATAGCATTATTGGCAACTGCCGGGAGAGCTTCATTCTGGTCAAGGGCATCTCGGACTACAAGGATGGCATGTCGACGCGCAAATGGCAGAACTATGCCTCGCTATCAGCGGCTGCAGTGGTCAAGTCCGTCATCTGTGGCATGGATGCGCCAACAAATGTTTAAGGCTCGGCCTACATCTAGCACTCAATGCATTAAGCTATGATTTTACACTTTCAAATCATTTTTTTTTTTAATATTGTTTAAATTCCTGCAATGTATTTATCAAACGTTTTATTTTGTTCTCTGTACGTTATTAACCAAAATCGGAGCCTAAATCGGCTATTAGCTGGCGGCCCCTCAAAGTAGACCAAAATGTATGCGTTTTCCTAATACCTTATTACATGTATATGTAAAAGTAATATGTATTGAATAATTTCTTGTTATTTATTTGTTATGCTTTTGTACTACATACATATACATAAATAATAATAAACATATATATATATATATATATATCATTTACATTTACACAAAATGTATGACACAGGCACATAACGTATATACCAAAATATATATTTATTTATGTATATACATACAAATATATTAAAATTCATAAATACTGCAATATAATGTTGCAACAGTATGTCACTAGTTTCATATTCATGCGATCTAATCTCTTTAGCCCAGTTTTAAGTGTTCATTGCGCGAGAAAAAATGCATTTTAAAATTTGCATTGCACTTATCAGGTTGTACAATAACGTTTTGAAAACAGCTCAACAAGAACTGGCTCGGCCTGGACATTTAAACTTGCCGCGCAAATTAAATCTACTCGATATACAACAGTCTGGCCCGCTGTGCTGCGCTGCCAGCAGAGCGTTGCCACTGTTGCACGCTTGCTCTCATTTCGATAAATCGTTTACTTTTATAACTATGCTGGCGTTGCATACATATAATACTTATGCTTTAATTACGATCTTTGCAATATCATGTTTTTTCAATTTTAATCATGCAGCAAGACATCCGTTAAGCGAAATGCACTAGTAAGAATCCAAGCTGTATAAGTAATGTTTGGAATAACGGTGCGGCCAGTGTTGAAAAACGACTGTTTTGTTGAGGCGCAAATATGTAGGACATTTTTAAATGCAGTTTAGCAAGCGCCTGTTCGATTGTTTTTCTTAATTGGTTTGATATTTCGATAGTGATAAATACTCATTTAATGAAACAATAATTCATATTTCTTAAGAACTAAGAAACGCGAACTCAAACCCAACCTGAACATCAATTCTGTGCTTTAAAGTTAATCCTTTCAATAAAATGCAGTTATACCAGAGCTGGGCACTTATCGATATAACGATTGAGTATCAAAGGTATCGGAGAATTTATATGTAATCGACAACAACACAATTTGGATATTTAAGGAGCTTAGGACATCGCTGCTTTTTGATAAACTCTGCGCCTCATCTGGGCAAATCAATTAAAAACTAAAAGTTCAATGGATATATGTATGCAGGTAAATATTAAACTCTCATATTGCTCCTACTTAAGGCTATTGAAACGAAGATTTATGCCTATAACTATTGAGACGAGCATGCATGTGTGTATGCACATACATACATACATATGCACGCTTGAACATATGGCAGACTTTTTTTGTCTCTCTCTGACTGCTTGCTTAAAGCTTGGAATTGTCGAACCCAGCAAATTACTATCCGCCTGTTGTCGAGCGAGACTCTTAATCAGTCGCCTACTGCCGCCAAGCCAGTTGTATTCGTTTTAGTGTAGCGCGCATTGACACAAATAAACACGTGCACACGTGTTGTCTGCGAACGACAGAACCAATCCGCTAATTAACCGTTCAATTGTAATTATAGAAGTTCAGGCATTTGGCGAGGCGCAATATGTAAGTGAAGTGCAAAGTGAATGAAGATTGCTAAGTGAACTTTCGACAGTATCCGCTCGCTCACACGTGTATGTGGCTCTCTATTGTGTGTGTGTGTGTGTGTGTGTGTGTTGTGTGTGCGTGGATGTGTGTTTTTGTAAGCCAAACCGGTCTCAAGTTCAAGGAGAGCTGTTCACGTTTGTTTTCCAAACGGGAATGGCATTACATATGTATGTATGTATGCATGTATGTATATAAAGATGTACATATGCAAATGGGGTTTTAGAGCTCGAATCTATTGACGTTAGAGGCTTCATTTTGTAAAGGACTTACAATTCTTTGGCTATGACCCCCATGCCGACTCTCTTCCCTGCGGAATTCACCAACCAGAACCTCCAATCTTATCAGTGCATGCATGTATACGATAATATGCAATGTGGCCAGCATTATTGAATGCACGTTGTAAATGCCAGATAAGAGCGCCATGCGGTCCACGTTAATGGTATTGATAAAGCACTTAACAGTAAAGAATACCCTGTATTGTAATTTGAGCACAAGCTTTGTTACCCACAGCATGATAGCTTGGGATAGGTTCAAAATCGAATCGTTAGTATGTTTTCCATGAAGTCTCAAACAATTTACAGTTAATTTGGTCGGGGATTCTCATTGAATGCGGTTAAAAGGGGTATATTCTTATTGTGCAAATGTATGTAACAGGCAGGTGAAAACATCTCCAACCTTATAGAGCATATACATATACATATATTATTGGTCAGCATCAATAGCCGAGTCGAGCTGTCCGTCGATCTCAGTATCTATTAAAACAATCAGTTTGATATTTTGATTTTTCGATCATCGATAGCTTTTGTCCCGTTTTCAAGCAATCGATATAATATTGATATTGAAATTCGGTTTTTTGAGCAAATAAATATATCAATTGGAACTGGCCACCAATTTAAACCACAATTTTAATGATCTTGTCTTTTGATTAATATACGAATATGCTCCATCACAAAATTATATATTGCATAAAATTGCATCAAGAACGGTTAGGAAGCATGGAAGTTATTACAGAAATAGTAGCGACAGATAGCGCAAAGCTCGACAATTTCTGTGCACATGTGCACACATATAAGTAGAGGTGCAATTCCGTTTCGTGTGTGTGAAGTTATATAGTTTAGCTTTTTTTTTTCATAATAACTCAATTCATGGTTAGGCTGTGGGGCATGAGGCGATGGCAATTAGTTTGGTCGGTTGAAGGCAGTTGCGAGTTCGACACCTGCCGAAGGAACTAGCTTTTTGTTTTATTTATATTAATGCTCAGACAAAGGAGCTTAGCCTAACTGCATTGAGTGTTGGTCGAAGAAGATTCAGGGTATCCTCCAGTCGGGCACTCGCGACTTTTAAACACTTTTACTTGTTTTTACATACATTTGCATATAAGCAACTGGGCGACTTTAATCAGTTATCGTTAATCAAGCTAAATGAAACAGGTTAAAGTACATATATAAAAGTCAATGTAGCACTATGCCTCTGCCTGCATGCTTGCCCGTAAGAACGCGTCCAATTTAAAGACCTTTGGGGGCAGTGCGATAAAATTGTGGGTTTTCTCCATAAATTTCATTCAGGTTGGGTTGTCGTCTATTGTTGTGTTTTCCAAAGCTGTCAAATGTTAAAATTTGGCGCTTTAATCTATATCTTCCTTTCCCTTTTACTCGCTGGTCTTAAACAAATCGCCCTTCTATGCAGTTCTCAGGCAAGGCAGGCCTTATCAAAATCGCCCTTCTATGCAGTTCTCAGGCAAGGCATTCAAAAACTTGATATCATTCCGACGATTTTTGATTTGCCTTTCCATGGGCTCTAATGACATGAAGCTTTGAATTATTTGCTTAGTTCATAAAAATTGGACCCGACTTGTTCCCCCTTTGAATAATTTTGTTTATCTCATGCACTGGTGAGACTTACCCACGCCGAGAAGTAAACAAATATTTTGTTTTATTTGTTTTTTTTATAATTAACTTCATAGACAGCTGCTGTCAACCCATTATATATATAAGCATTCCGCATAATAATATACAAATAATAGTTCTCAGCTCAGACTCTGATGAAAGGAAATCTTTGCAATTGAAATGTGAGCTCCATTAGAAAAAGGAAACTCGGGCAAGAATTATAGTATGATAAAAACGAGAAGTTGATATTAAAGAAAAATAATCTATGAATCTATGAAATATCTATAATAATTTTGATAACTTAAGAAAGAAGGGCTTGCATAAGGCGCATGAAAAATATCAAAATATCTCAAAAATAGTTTTTCAATACCTCTGAGGGACGGGCTTACCCAATAGACTGATGGGTCTGTATACATAGCTTATATTTTTTTTTTTTGGAATTATGCCCTCCGATCTAACTAAACTTTAATTATAAATAAGAGCTTTGGATAATGCTGTGGTTAAATATAGTTTTTTTCATATTTTGCTTGATTCAGCTGCGAAATGAACGAAGCGAATTGTTATCTTGTGCTGGAGGATGGCACCATGATGCCGGGCTGGGCATTCGGCGCTAAGAGCACGCCCACAAGCGGGGAGGTGGTGTTCCAAACGGGCATGGTCGGCTACACGGAGGCCTTGACGGATCGCTCGTACAGTGCGCAGATTCTGGTCCTGACCTATCCGCTAATTGGCAACTATGGAGTGCCGGATGTCAACGAACTGGACGAGTTTGGACTGCCGGAGCACTTTGAGTGGCTGCAGGGCGCCGTCCAGGTGGCCGGCCTGGTGGTGGGCGAGATTTGCGACACGCCCTCGCATTGGCGTTCACAGCGCACGCTGTCCCAGTGGCTGGCGGAGCACAAGGTGCCTGGCATCAGCGGCATCGATACGCGCGCCCTGACCAAGAAGCTGCGCGAGCAGGGCAGCCTGCTGGGACGCATTGTCTATGAAAAGCCGGGCAAGCAGCTGGCCCCGTTCGAGGATCCCAACGAGCGCAATCTGGCCAAGGAGTGCGCCGTCAAGGAGCCGCTGCTGTACAAGTCGCCGCAGAATAGTGGACCACGCATTGCCATCATGGATTGCGGTCTGAAACTGAATCAGCTGCGCTGTTTGGTGCAGCGCGGCGCGTCCGTGCAGCTGCTGCCCTGGAGCGCAGAGCTGAAGGAGGATCAGTACGATGCGCTGTTCCTATCGAATGGACCGGGCGATCCGGCCAGCTGCCAACCGATTGTGGAGCAAGTGAAGCGCGTTCTGCAGGCTGGCAACAAGCCCATCTTTGGCATCTGCCTGGGCCATCAGCTGCTGGCCACGGCCATCGGCTGCGACACCTACAAGATGAAGTACGGCAATCGTGGCCACAATTTACCCTGCCTGCATCGCGCCACTGGGCGCTGTCTGCTCACCTCGCAGAATCACGGTTATGCCGTCGATCTGGCCAAGTTGCCCGCCGACTGGGAGGAGCTGTTTGTCAATGCCAACGATGGCACCAACGAGGGCATTGTGCACCGCACCAAGCCCTACTTCTCGGTTCAGTTCCATCCGGAGCATCATGCCGGTCCCAAGGACACCGAGTTCCTCTTCGATGTTTTTCTCGAAGCCATAAGCCAGCCGCAAATAGGCGTGCCCAATCTAATCTCACGTCGGCTGCGCGTCACCCAGCCCGAGGCGCTGCCGCGACCTCGCAAGGTGCTCATATTGGGCTCCGGCGGCCTGTCAATTGGCCAGGCCGGCGAATTCGACTATTCCGGCTCGCAGGCCATCAAGGCCATGCGCGAGTCAAATATACAAACGGTGCTGATCAATCCCAACATTGCCACCGTCCAGACGTCCAAGGGCATGGCGGACAAGTGCTATTTCCTGCCCCTGACGCCCGACTATGTCGAGCAGGTCATCAAATCGGAGCGGCCCAACGGCGTCCTGCTCACCTTTGGCGGCCAGACGGCCCTCAACTGCGGCGTCGAACTGGAGCGTGCCGGTGTCTTTGCCAAGTACAATGTACGCATCCTGGGCACGCCCATACAATCGATCATCGAGACGGAGGATCGCAAGCTGTTCGCCCAGCGTGTCAATGAGATTGGCGAACGCGTGGCGCCATCCGAGGCGGTGTATACCGTGGCCGAGGCCCTAGATGCAGCCGGCCGTTTAGGTTATCCAGTGATGGCACGTGCCGCCTTCTCGTTGGGCGGCCTGGGCTCCGGGTTTGCCAACAACGAGCAGGAGCTGAGGACGCTCGCCCAGCAGGCGCTCGCCCATTCCAATCAGCTAATTGTGGACAAGTCGCTTAAGGGCTGGAAAGAGGTGGAGTACGAGGTGGTGCGCGATGCCTACGACAATTGCATCACGGTCTGCAACATGGAGAATTTCGATCCGCTGGGCATACACACGGGCGAGAGCATTGTGGTCGCGCCCTCGCAAACCCTCTCCGATCGCGAATACCAAATGCTGCGCAGCACCGCACTCAAGGTAATCCGGCACTTCGGCGTCGTCGGCGAGTGCAACATTCAGTATGCGCTTTGCCCGCACTCGGAGCAGTACTACATCATCGAGGTGAACGCCAGGCTGTCGCGCAGCTCGGCGCTGGCCAGCAAGGCGACCGGCTACCCGCTGGCATATGTCGCCGCCAAGCTGTCGCTGGGCGAGCCGCTGCCGGAGATCCGCAACTCGGTGACGGGCAATACGACGGCCTGCTTTGAGCCCAGCCTGGACTACTGTGTGGTGAAGATACCACGCTGGGATTTGGCCAAATTCGTGCGCGTCAGCAAGCACATTGGCAGCTCCATGAAGAGCGTCGGCGAGGTGATGGCCATTGGACGCAGCTTCGAGGAGGCATTCCAGAAGGCATTGCGCATGGTTGACGGCGATGTCCAGGGCTTCGATCCGTATCTGGCGCCGGTCGAAAAGGAGCAGCTATCGGAGCCGACAGATCGTCGTCCCTTTGTGCTGGCCGCTGCCCTCCGTGCGGGCATGTGCATCGAGGAGCTGCACGAGCTGACCAAAATCGATCGCTGGTTCCTGCACAAGCTGCAGCACATCATCCAGTTCTATGGCCAGCTGGAGTCGGCTGGCAGTCAGCTGACGCCGGCCCTGCTGCTCAGCGCCAAGCGCTTGGGCTTCGCAGACAAGCAGATCGCCATGGCCACCAAGAGCACGGAACTGGCCGTGCGCCAGCAGCGCCACGAGCACAACATTCGCCCCTACGTCAAGCAGATTGACACCGTGGCGGGCGAATGGCCCGCCAGCACCAATTACCTATACAACACGTACAATGCATCCGAGCATGATGTCCTCTTTCCCGGTGGCCATACGATTGTCGTCGGCTCGGGTGTCTATCGCATTGGCTCCTCCGTGGAGTTCGATTGGTGCGCCGTCGGTTGCCTGCGGGAGCTGCGCAATCTGAAGAAGTCGACCATCATGATTAACTACAATCCGGAAACGGTGTCCACCGATTACGACATGTGCGATCGCTTGTACTTTGAGGAGATTAGCTTCGAGGTCGTCATGGATATCTACGAGACGGAGCGCTCCGATGGCATCATACTCTCGATGGGCGGCCAGTTACCGAACAATATTGCCATGGATCTGCATAGGCAGCAGGCCAAGGTGCTTGGCACCTCGCCCGAGTCGATTGACTGTGCCGAGAATCGTTTCAAGTTCTCGCGCATGCTGGACAGAAAGGGCATCTTGCAGCCGCTGTGGAAGGAGCTGACCAATCTTCAGTCAGCCGTTGAGTTCTGTCAGGAGGTGGGCTATCCGTGCCTGGTGCGACCCTCCTATGTGCTCTCGGGTGCGGCCATGAATGTGGCCTACTCAGATCAGGATCTGGAGACGTATCTGAATGCCGCTTCGACGGTGAGTCGCGAGCATCCTGTGGTCATATCCAAGTTCTTGACCGAAGCCAAGGAAATCGACGTGGACGCCGTTGCAGCCGATGGCCAAATCTTGTGCATGGCCGTCTCCGAGCATGTGGAGAACGCGGGCGTTCATTCGGGCGACGCGACGCTGGTCACGCCGCCGCAGGACTTGAATGCCGAGACCCTGGAGGCCATCAAGCGCATCACACGCGACCTGGCCAGCGTCCTGGATGTCACCGGACCCTTCAACATGCAGCTCATTGCCAAAAACAACGAGCTAAAGGTCATCGAATGCAATGTCCGTGTCTCGCGCTCCTTTCCCTTCGTATCCAAAACACTCGACCATGATTTTGTTGCCACGGCCACACGCGCCATTGTTGGCATGGACGTGGAGCCCATCGATGTGCTTCACGGCGTCGGCAAGGTGGGCGTCAAGGTGCCACAGTTCAGTTTCTCGCGCCTCGCCGGCGCCGACGTCCAGCTGGGCGTCGAGATGGCTTCCACCGGCGAGGTGGCCTGCTTTGGCGACAATCGCTACGAGGCCTACCTAAAAGCGATGATGTCCACCGGCTTCCAGATACCCAAAAATGCCATTCTGCTATCCATTGGCAGCTTCAAGGTGCGTAGACCTTTCACATATAGAATTCCCACATGTAATTCTCTGTTTCTCTTGCCCACAGCACAAAATGGAGCTGCTTTCCTCCATTCGAGATCTGGCCAAAATGGGCTACAAGCTGTACGCCTCGATGGGCACCGGTGACTTCTACGCGGAGCACGGCGTTGACGTGAGTAGAAGTGCCTCCTATTCAAGTCATATCATATAGTTGTCCGATTGAATGCCACCCAAACATATGCTTTGGGGGAACTTTATCTGCGACTCTCTCTCGAAGAAGAAGAGCGCGCAAGTGGAAGAACCAGAAGGTTAGACACAATCTGCGATTGCTAAAATTTATTATAGATGTTTTATTTTTTTTATTTAATGATATAATGAGAAGTCGCAATCAGGGAATTCGGTGCCCAAATTGAAAATAGGTCAGAAGAAACTCAATAATTATTGCCTATGGGTATGCCCAGGCAAAGCCGGGTAATGCCCACCAGTGTATTACAAAAAAAACTTGCTTATCATTTAACAAAGAGCTTTAAAGACAATCGCAATAAGTTGGTTGCGTTTCGCTCGGTTTTCATTTTACAATTAGTCTCGAGTTATCAAGATGGGCAGCAGACCGAACAGAAGCCAATCGGGCGTACTTGAGGGCCATTCCGATAATCTCATAGAATGATGTATATATAGATAACGCCTCTGGGGAGTATTCGGGCTGTCGGGGGGAATAGCAGCTGCTAATTGAAAGCGCTCTTCAGCTTTTGTGTATTCCGCTTGAGCATGTCACGTAGCTCGTCGCGCTTCGCTTCCGGCGCCAATGTTTGCATCAGCTGCTCCGTCTTGGTGCTTATGGCTTGCAGTGCTCCAGGATCCACTTGAAGTCGCTGCAGCAGCGGGCCCAACATGCTGCCCTCCATGGAGCTGGCTGGCACAGCGGCTTCTAGCTTTGGCTCGGGCTCTGGTTCTGGCGCCGGCTCGCGCTCCGTCTTCAGCTGGGGCTCTGGCTGGCTGGCTTCCAGGATGATGTCGTCGTCGTGCTTATTGAACTTGGGCGGCGCGGATGGTGGCGCGCGCGGTGTGCCTGGTGGCGAGGGTGGCTGTAGCGGCAGCAGTTCGCCCGAGTGCATCTGCACGACATGCTCCACAAACTTAAGAGACTTGCGGCGCATGGGACTGGAGCTGCAGCTGGCGGCGGGGCTGCCGCGGCTAGTGCTGGCGCTGGTGCTGGCCCGCTCGATGCTGCTCGCCGCCTGGCACAGTGCGTCCGTATAGTGCTGGGCATACTGGGAGCAGCCCAGCTGCTGGTAGAGCCGGCAAAGGCGCTGCGCCTGCTCCAAATAGAGCTGGGCGTGCTGTGCATTGCGAAACTCCGTCGCCTTGGCCAGCATGGCCAGCATGTGATCCAGCAGCAGCTCCAGCAGATTGGTGCGCCGCAGGATCTCAAAGCCGTCGTTGAGCTGAGGTGTTGTCGTTGTTGTTGTCGTTGTCGTTGTTTTTGTTGCAGCTGCACCTGTGGCGGATGTGTTGCTGGATGTGTGGGATGCCTGCGATGTGCGGGGCATCAGCAGCGGCAAGTCCAGCGTCAGGGACTCGCCGGAGTCGCGTCGCTGCTCGGCCAGCTTCAGCTGCTGGGCCCGCAGCATTTGCGTCTTGCGGCGCAGCTTGCCGCGCGTGCGCTCCTGATGCTGACGCATGCCCAGCAGACCCTGTGCATCACTGGGCTCCAGCTCTGGCGGCTGCTGTTCCCGCTGCGGTTCCCGCTGCTGTACCGTTGCGGGCAGCGTGTTCCGCGCAAACTTGGCCCAGCCGCGCAGCTGCAGATAGTCCTGGGCCAGCAGATTGTCGAGCAGCCGGCGATAGTTGAGCTTGGGATAGAAGTCATCGGCATGCTGGAGATTGCGCAGCGCCTGGAGCACATGCATGAGCGGCTGCTCGGCTATGCCCGCCATGATGGCGCGCAGCTCCATGAGCGCGTCCTCCGCCACATGCTCGAAGAGATTGCGACGCTCGATGAAATAGTCGCTCAGCTGCTTCTTGGCCAGGCAATCGGCAAAGGTGCGCACGAAGCGCACCAGCCTCTCGCCCAGAAACTCCTCCGGCCAGTCGTTGCTGTGTCGCTCGCATTGCCAGAACAGATGCGTCCGCAGCTGCTCCATGATGTGGCCCATGGCCTGGCATTTCTCGTTGACGAACGTCCGCACCAGGGCCTTCATCAGCAGCAGGATCTTCAGCTGCATGCGCGTCAGCTGACGCTCGAGGAACTGTTCCGCCTGCGGGAATACAATGCGCCACTCCAGCTCCCGGAAGGGATTGCGCGCCCGCTTCGGCGCATAGCCCACGGGCACCACATGGAAGCCAAACGATTGAATACGCTTGCGCATCAACGTAGTCGGCCATTGGAACTTCTCGCCCGTGTGCAGATTGGTCAGCTGCGGGCGTGCGCGCAGATTGAACTCAAAGGCGCAGTCCGGCCAGCTGTGCGGCACATGGATGGCGGGCACCAGCTCCTCCGTGGCCGTATAGATGCTGCAGCCACGATAGCTGCCAGCCGACAGCTGCGACTGGCTGATGCCCAGCTCTCGAGCCAGCTGCTGGCGCAGCAGCTCGGCAAAGTAGTTCATAAACTGCTGGGAGCTGAGATAGCATTGCTGGAGGAGATCGCGCCGGCGCTGTTGCTCCACGCGACACTGGCGTAACACCTGTACCGTCTCGTAGCCGGAGCGGCTGCTCTCCTGCCACTGCTGCAGATCTTGATGCGCGTCATCCTCTTCGTCGTCGCTGCTGCTGCTTGCATTGGAGTCCACCTCGTCGTCGTCGCTCTGCTCCAGCCAGGCTGGCAGGCAGCTGATCAGCCGGCAAACACACGCCTCGGGCAGCACATTGCGCTGCAGTGGCTCCTCGCACCTGAGCTTCAGCTCAGACATTGGTCGCTGTGTATTCAGGCGCGCTATGTACACATGATCGTAGTCGCCCTCGCACCAGCTGCCTCTGCCAGAGAACGACCCCGAACTCGAGCTGGAGCCAGGACCGATAGTGCTGTAGCCGGAGCTGCTGTAGGCGGCATCGATGTCGCCCTCGTCGCTGCTCGGGCTGCTGCCCGAGCTGCACTGCATGGGCATCGGCTCGCGCAGCTTGAGACGCACGTAGCCCATCCAGCGGCTCTGCTCCAGCAGCTGGACATACTGCGAGCGACAGGGCGTCGTGTTGTAGTAGTCCGTCTCCAACAGCACCTTGCAGAGCGCCGCTATGGAGTCATAGTTAGCGTCATTGGCCCTGGCGATATCCACATTCTCGAACACCACGTAGGTTAGCGTCTTCTGCAACGGCTGCGGCTGTGCCGGAACATGGCCTGAGCCCGACTGGCGATGTGGGCCATCTCTGTGCACAAAAAGGAGAATCGATTAGGCAAGGTTATCCGACTAGCTGTTGGCATTAAATGTTAGTTAGTCATATAAAATATGGGATGGGAGCAACCTTAGCAACCGTTTGACCCGAGGGTTCAAGTTCACCCGACTAGGAGCTTGCCCTGGGTGGCTTGGCTAGGTTTTGGTTGCCCTAGATTGACTAGATAGAGCTGTCCACACTGTCCAGTTCTTCAAGCACGCGACAGACACCCAGAAGATGTTGGACGCCTTCTGTCTGCATCCTTTATCGCAACAGCTGTGACAGAATTGGGTCGAGGCTGAGAGCTTGCGTCCTTGCTCCGTCAGTGACCCGTTAGGACTCCTGTCGTCAGTCTCATTCCGTTCTTGTTGAAGTGTCTTGTGTCTTGACCAGATTGCTAGCCAGATTTGTAAGCAAAAGGAACGCTTTACACTCACGTGTTGAAATTACCCTTGGAATATCCTGTTCAAGGAGGAGTGGGTATCTCAACAGTTTATACGTGGAGTCGGGTGAATACACAGATTCGTTGAGCCGGCAAATCTGTTCATTCGGACGGAGGCGAGCTTTGCGTATCCTGGTGGGTTACTGGGCGAACCAGTTGCGAATAGGAGGCAGATCCTGCAACCGGCAGGAGTTCCTTAGGCAGTGAATACACGACAACAGATAGCTTGCTCTTCTGTCCTAACTATAAATATTGTTGGCACGAATCTATGTCCGGTTAACTCGAGCTCAGCAAATGTTAATTACTCAAGAACTTCAGGGGAAGATATTGGACTAATGTAGGCTCCTAGTATTCGAAACTTACGTGGGCTTGAAGAGCAGCCGCTTGGCAACGGCCACATCGATGGCGCTGGCATGGATCAGACTGTGCTCGTTGAGGGTCTGGCCGCAGGCGCGCTGCCTGGCCTGCAGCTGCTCGTCGATGGCGGCCAGCTCGTTCTCGTAATGGCCAAAGAACTGGATGCCCAGCAGCAGTTGGTTGAGCAGGAACGTGTGCAGCTGCCGCTCCAGCTGATGTCGCGTCTTCTCCTCGATAACGCGCTGGTGCTCCTCCCGCTGCCCCTCCAGCGTCCGGGCGTAGAGCGCACTCACACATTCGGTGGCGCTGCTGCCGTTACTGCCCCCGAGCAGCCGCAGCTGTGGCGCCAGATTGGGGCTGCCACGAATGCTGCCGCTGCCGTTGCCACGCAAGCTGCGCCGCAGGCTGTTGCTGTTGGCGCCGCGCTGATGGCGCCGCTTGCGGGCGTTGCGCTTCTGCAGCTTGGCCAGCTGGCGCTGGCGCTTCTCCTCCTGGCGGCGACGCTGCTGCACACGGGGCGGCGCCTCCGCCGCTTGCAGCTGCTGCAGCGGACTGGGCAACGCATTGCCGTCTGGCGCCTTGGACCAGGTACAGCCCATGGATCGGCTGGGTGTCTATGTGTCTGTGTGTATGTGTGTCCAGCTGGGGATTCGACTTGAGGATAACAAACGCAGCGCAGCGCTTGCAGCTGTGGCTCCTTTCTTACTGATACCGATCACGCTGATCAAATGCCATTTTCTTGCCAATCTCGTTGTCGTCGCTGTCGCTCTTGATGTTGCTGTTGCCTAGATAAGATCGCCGTCAAGACCAATACCAACAATGGCACCTATTGGCGACAAGTGCCGATTCCTCCTACACTTCCGGCCGGCCAAGTGGGGAGGCCTTGTTATCAGCCTTTCTGGCATGTAAACACGACAACAGCAACAAAAGTCCCACGATGACTGCGCGCACAGTGGAGCAAACTGACAAAATGAGATGCAAAAAAAATACATCTATATCCATGGGATATACTTGTTATACTTGGATATACTTAATCTTAATTGTCTTTAGATTATGCATATAATTTAAAGACCTGCTGAAATTCCTCTTCAGCTAAATCCCAACGCAAATTTAAATATTCCAGAAAAAAACACTATCAATACGGGGGGCTTTCTTTTCGTTTTTTTCTGTCACAGTTACGTGTGTTTTTCCAAGACTAATGAGCTGCATTTGAGTGTTATTAATGCAAAATACGAATCTGTTATCTAAAAGCATACATTAAAATACATTAAAATATGATTTAAGATCGGAAATGTCGAAACCCACGCTATCTAATTTACAATCTTGTTTGCCGTCAGCATTATTAAAAATGGAATGTGTAACTGAAGAGAATTTTAAAAATAGAACAGTCAGCTTTGAGCAAAACTCTAACGGGCTATTGCTAGTTGTTATCGATATCGATATATATCGACAAAGTAATATTGACATTTAAAGCTCCCATGCAAAAACGGGTAAGGGTTCATTAATTTGGCTCACTCAAAATAAAAACAGGACCGAAATGCTGAGCATTTTGTATAATCGATAATTGATCGATTGTAGATAATCGATAATTTATCGATGCGTTATTTTGTCTGAGGGTGCCACTGTGCCACTTTTCGCTTGTAATGTTTTATTGTTACAAATGCTATTCGCATTGGTATTATTATTGTCCATGTACAAGTGAATTATTATGTAGGTCTATAAAGAGCAATATCTTTATGTGGCCTAGGCAAACATTTGCCAATGAATGGTGGTAAATTTGGCCTTGGGACTCGGTCTGCATGCTTCATACAAATGCTAAGCAATGCCCCATTTCTTCTTTCGATTGCAGGTGGAGTCCGTACAGTGGACATTCGATAAGACAACACCCGATGATATCAATGGAGAGCTGCGACATTTGGCCGAGTTTCTGGCCAACAAGCAATTCGATCTGGTCATCAATTTACCCATGCGTGGTGGCGGAATCCGCAGGTAAGTCATGTTTACCTCTTCAATTGATCGGGAAATGTGAGCTAGATCAACATGGATAGCCCCTAATTCTTAAACTTAAACTTAAATAAGAATCCCCCAAGCTCATTCATATGTGAACCCTTCATATGAGTACTCATAACTAAGTATGCTGTTATTTATGTCTATCTTCGAACCCATTGAGTACTCATCATGTTATCTATGCATATATGTATAGCTTGTTTTTGTCATCTCCGTATTCATTTAGTATTTATATTCTCGATCAGCATGACGAGCTGAGTCGTTAGTTGGGATGGGCTCTCATGTAATATATGCGTATTATAATAGGTTTATTTTATTGTAAATTTTTCTTTATTTTCATAAACTTCGCCCTGCTATGCGATTTTCATGAATTTAAGTAATCTTACACGTATGTATTTAAGTTATACTTCTCTATTAAAGTGTTGTTAAATCTTTTCTCTTCTCGCCAAGTTGTTATATTCTTCATTTAACTCGCTTTCTCTCTCATTTTATTTAACCCATTCTCGCTTGCTTTAAATCTCTCCGCCTCAATCACTGGTTTTCTCTCTCATTTCTTATATTATACTCGCCAATTCTCGATTACTCGCTTTCTGCCCGCTTAAACAAAGCCTTTCTATGCGATTCTCATGAATTCATGTAATGCTTCGTCTTTTTGTTGTTGTTTTTTTTTTTAAAGTTGTGTGTGCAAGTGAATTATAGATATTTATAAGACTGTTAATTGACTTTGAATCGAACCCAGGGTCTCATCATTCATGACGCATGGCTATCGGACACGTCGCCTGGCGGTCGACTATTCAATACCGCTGGTGACGGACGTCAAGTGCACCAAGCTGCTGGTGGAATCGATGCGTGTGACTGGCCGCAATCCGGGCATGAAGACGCACACCGACTGCATGACGTCGCGTCGCATTGTTAAGCTGCCGGGCTTCATAGACGTGCATGTGCATCTGCGGGAGCCGGGCGCCACCCATAAGGAGGACTTCGCCAGCGGCACCGCAGCCGCCCTAGCCGGCGGCGTCACAATGGTCTGTGCCATGCCCAACACGAATCCGGCAATTGTGGATCGCGAGACGTTCAATCAATTCCGCGAGCTGGCCCGAGCCGGGGCCCGCTGCGACTATGCGCTATATGTGGGCGCCTCGGACACCAACTGGGAGCATGCCCATGAGCTGGCCACGCAGGCGTGCGGCCTAAAGATGTACCTCAACGATACGTACGGCACGCTGAGGCTCAGCGACATGGCCGCCTGGCAGCGTCACCTGTCGCGCTGGCCCAAGCGGGCGCCCATCGTTTGTCATGCGGAGCGGCAGAGCATGGCGGCCGTTATGCTGCTGGCCCATCTGCTGGAGCGGCCGATCCACATTTGCCATGTGGCGCGCAAGGAGGAGATTCAGCTGATACGTGCCGCCAAGGAGAAGGGCATGAAGGTTACCTGCGAGGTGTGTCCGCATCATCTGTTCCTCAGCACGCGCGATCTGGAGCGCCTGGGCGCCGGCATGGCGGAGGTGCGACCGCTGCTGTGCTCGCCCGAGGATCAGGAAGCGCTCTGGGAGCACATGGAGTACATTGATGTGTTTGCCACAGATCATGCACCGCACACGCTCGCTGAGAAGCAATCGGAGCGGCCGCCGCCCGGTTTCCCCGGCCTGGAGACCATATTGCCGCTGCTGCTGCAGGCCGTGCACGAGGGTCGCATCACCCTGGAGGATATTAAGCGCAAGTTTCATCGCAATCCGCGCAATATTTTCAATTTGCCCGAGCAGCCGCAGACATACGTGGAGATTGATCTGGACGAGGAGTGGACCATCAGCAACAACGAACTAAAGACCAAAGCCCGCTGGACGCCCTTCCACGGCACCAAGGTGAAGGGTCGCGTCCATCGAGTCGTGCTGCGCGGCGAGGTCGCCTACATTGATGGCCAAGTGCTGGTCCAGCCCGGCTATGGCCAGAATGTGCGCTCCAAGCTGCCGCTGCCGCAAAAGTCCGAGGCCGAAGGCAGCGACCTGCCCAGCGATACCGATGTCAACGACACCTTCTCCCGTCTATTGACCGAAGGCACCGGCACAGCAACTGGCACCGGCGCCACGGGTTCACGTGCCACCAGCGTGCATTTCGTGGACGAAGCCGGCGCAAGTACATCGCCGGCGGCGGGCAGCATCTTGCGTCCGGTGTCGCCGGCGCCACGACTGCGTCTCGACTCGTCCAGCAATGCCACGCTGAAGGAGTACCTGCAGAAGAACTCGCTGCTGCCCACGCCTAATCCGGTGGCACACTGCTTGGTCGGCAAGCATGTCCTATCCGTGGACACCTTCGACAAGGAGCGGCTGAACGACATATTTAACTTGGCGCAGCTGCTGAAATCGCGCGTGACCAAAGACCGGCCCGTTGACGACTTGCTGCGCGGCAAAATCATGGCCAGCATCTTTTACGAGGTGAGCACACGCACCCAGTGCAGCTTCAGTGCGGCAATGCAGCGCCTGGGCGGACATGTCATCAACATGGATCAGGTCACCTCGTCGGTGAAGAAGGGCGAAACACTCGAGGACAGCATCAAGGTGATGGCCAGCTATGCGGATGTCCTGGTGCTCCGTCATCCCGAGCCGGGCGCCGTTGCGGTAAGTACATACTGTCACCATTACCATATTCGAAATGTGTCCACCTCATCCGGAATCCCTCTACATTCACAGCGCGCCGCTTCGTTTTCGCGCAAGCCGCTGATCAATGCCGGCGACGGGGTCGGTGAGCATCCCACGCAGGCGCTGCTGGATGTCTTCACCATACGTGAGGAAATCGGTACCGTCAACGGTCTAACAATCACCATGGTTGGCGACCTCAAGAACGGACGCACTGTCCACTCGCTGGCACGTCTGCTCACCCTCTACAATATCACGCTGCAGTACGTGGCCCCGCCAGGCCTCGGCATGCCCGAGCCCATTATGCGCTATCTGCAGCAACGCGGCGTCACGCAGCTAACGTTCGACAGCATAGAGCAGGCGCTGCCCACCACCGATGTGCTCTACATGACACGCATCCAGCGCGAACGCTTCAAGAGCGAGGAGGAATACCAGCGCGTATGTGACAATCATGTGCATTTATATAACCCGTACCTGATCCAAATGGGTAGCATGGTCTTCAAAATACTAGTTGGAGAAGCCTGAGACAATCCCCTAGAGATGAGGTCGAGATCCGCCTGTCCGTCTGTCGCCGATTTCAAATTAATTAATATTAATCAGGGGTAACAGCCGAGTGTGTGTCCGTCTGTTTCTTTAAAGAAGACCTTTTTTCGATTCACGAGTTTTCCATTCTCCTCGCGTCTAAGCGAAGTATTATACACATCGGAATAATATAGCATATAGCTACATAAGCAGAATCGGTGTGGAAAACTTTTCTGTTTGTCAAGAAATCTTTAAAAATTTCTCACCAATTAAGATCTGCAGTATTCTCCTAACATATCTACAAAACCGTAACATGTCTGTCTGCTATATCATATGTCTAAGCCACATTCATAGAAGGACATTTATTGTATGAAGCTTCCCGGCTGGATTTAGGATATTAACCAGTTGGACACTCCCGACTGGAGCGCTTGTTATTTGTTTCTGAAGCAATTGGAACTCAGGATTTGTGCCACCTTTATTTTTTTGCAGTGCTGCGGCCACTTTATTGTCACGCCCAAAATGATGACACGGGCAAATAAGCGTACCATTGTGCTGCATCCGCTGCCGCGCGTCGAGGAGATTAGCCGCGACTTTGACTCGGATCCTCGTGCGGCCTACTTCCGACAGGCTGAGTACGGCATGTACATTCGCATGGCGCTGCTGGCCATGGTCGTTGGCTGTCGCAGCACGGCGCTCTGAACTTTTTGACAGTTTCAATAAAACTGCATTTTTTTTTCTATTTTTGTACTTTTTATTAGCTTATAAGCATAAATACAAGCGGCAGAACCAGTTGTTGCCTTAAACACAAATAGTTTTGTTTGATTTTATTTTGATTCAAATAATAACGGACCAAGAGGCAGCTAATTGGGTTGCTGTCTTGGCTAGTTACCGATAAGTTAGCTATCGATAACATTGGAGCGTTGTTCAACACGCACAATATTCGAAAAAAAGTGTGGCAGCTGCGCAATCATTTCAAATTATAACAAACAATCATAGAATCATATTAATATATTACACAACGGGGGTAAGAACAAAAAAAAATGGATTCCATATGTAGTATAATTGGCTTAAAATTCTATTCGTCAGTCTTTTATGTTCACAAACATCACGTGCTTTCCCAGCGCTATTTGGTTAATAGCGCTCGACAACAATCTCTGTGGGCCATTGATTAGCGTTATCCTTATCCTTATGCTTATACTTAGCATCGACATTTAGGGTCAAGGTGCTCTCCGCAAAGGCGGCATTCAGATGCCCGGCCAGTTGTGGCTGTGATCTGTCCACGCTGGTCATTGCCACGGCCATGGCACTGGCACTGGCCAACGACTTGGTCTGTAGCTGCTTGTTGCTCCTCTGGTTGCAGCAGCTGGAAACCAAAACAGATGGAGTCACTGGGCATCGATGGGTGGGATTACACTTACGTTTTACGTTTGCGACAGGCCACCATAGAAACGAGCACGGCCAGTATAATGATGGCCGCCAATAGGCCCGATAAACCTGCCACCATGGTCATCATGCCGTGCGGTTCCCCATCGGAGGTTACTTTAGTAACTGGCAAGATGCATAGAGAGCGGACAAGAGAGAGAGAGAGAGAGAGAGAGAGAGAGAATGAGTGTGTGTGAGAGGTTAGTGTTCCAGTTTTGCAAGTGCCTTGCTGTCTGCCAGTTACGGACTGGCTTCGGCTGCGGCTCCGGCTACGGCCCGAATCGTAATGCATTCGACTCAGAGTCTGTGTCTCAGGGTCAAATCGTTGTGTGAACTTCAACTTGCTGATAATCGGTGATTGGCTGAATGCCGGCATTTGAGCTAATGCACACGTTTGTTTACCTTTACGCAATTGGCAATGACAATGGGCGAGGCAACGCCCACACAAACGCACTTCCCGTATTGACCGTATTGCCCGTATTGCCCGTTGACTTTCTAAGCCGGAAGCCTAGACTTGACACTTACTTGAATCTTCGACAACAAAGCGCTTGCTGTTGGGTAACGCCGAAGCCTGGACATAGGTATCCGCCTCCATTTGAGAATTCAGCTGATGCGATCTGTCAAGAAAGCGAAAAGAAAAAAAGAAAAAAAAACATAAATGGCCATGAAACACCTGTCCAAATATTGGCCAAAACTGGCTGGCTGCAGCAGGCAGACAAATGCTCAGCATATCCACAAAAACTATAACAACAATAACAAGCATAATAATAACAGTTTTTCTCTCTAGTCGATTGAGTTTTAGCCCAGTTGCAGCAACCGCTGGCCACGGCCACGCTCGACTTCATCCGATTGTTGTTGCCCAATCTCTGGGCCTCCACGCCCTCCCTCTCTAATTGTGGGCCAGCTTCGGCTTCGGCTTCGGCTTTGGTTTCGGCCTGTGCTAATTAATTGATTAGCTCAGTGCGTTAATCTGGCCTTATCACCATATAACAACAACAACAACAACACGTTGACAAGTTTCGGTTTCAGTTTCAGTTTCGTTTTTCAAGTTTTTTTTATTGCTGTCGCTGTCGCTGATTTAGTCGACATTAATTAATTTGATTTAATTGTTAAGTGTTTGTTCTTAATCGCACACACACAAAAAGTCAAAAATAAATAAATCAAATAAGCCCGAGAAAGTGTCGTCTCGTTTTTGTCTGGCTACAGCAAAGACGGCCAACACTATGCTACAGCGAAAGACTTTTATCTGTGGCTGGCAGCTAACAAAAAAAAAAAAAAAAAAAAAAAAAACCCATTAAATGTCAACTAATGGAAGTGTGTTGTGGCCAATGGAAACATACTGTTCGCACAGTCCTTGCCAAAAGTAAAACCCCGCTTCTGTGCCTTTAAATTGAAATGCGTGCAGAGCTTTTGCCTTAGCAATAAATAATATAACAATTGATTTATGGCGAAGCTCAATTGTTAGTTAATTCAAATGATCTCGTGAGCATATTTAAATACAGATTACTCAATAGCAATAATTGAAAAATTTGCATAGAAATAGGCGACTTATACTAATCTAATATATATGTATGTACATATATATCTCACGTGACTTTGGCAATTATTGGCCCAACCAGTTTGATATATCTTTAATGGCTGCATGGAAAGAGGAAGAAGAGTTCGGGAAAAGCGAAATTCGACTCAAATATGCATGTACGTATGTATGTATGTGTAGGCAGCAAAGTGTCAATGGACGCAGAGCAGAGAGTTGTACTCACACATGCACACATGCATACATATACATATATGTATGTATAGCCTATATCTATGCATGCATGCTTGTAGAATAGGCAAATGGGCAAATGTTGATGCGGAACGAAAAGAGGAACTTCTCAAGATCATGAGCAGAATGTTAACTCTCCTCTCAGCCCGTGTTGATCTGTGTTGTGTTTTATGGCCTGTGCTTGATTTGCATTTCAATAAAATAACTATCGAAATCTTTAATAGTACACACATACATACATATGTATGTACCGACATAGTGCCCATTGGGTTTATTGTGATATAAGGGAATTACATACATGTGCATGTGCCTAGCGTATGTCCAAGCTAATCGCAGATCCGCCTGCGAATGAAAAGGCGTGTGGGCAGGCGGATAGCGGGAGGAATGGCGGGGGGGGGGGGGGGGGGGGGGGGGGGGAGGGGGTGCACATGGTTGCATGTCGTTGCCATCGGGGGGAAATTGTTGGAGAAATGCGAGCACGAGTTTGAGATTATTATTATTATTAATATTATTATAATTGTTTGCCTCTTTTTTTTTTTTTTGTTTGTTTGCATTTATAGTTAAATTTTAATCAGTTGTGCTTGCGGCGATTTGCAAGTTAATTGCACAATTTAATAGTTATAAATAACAGAACGGGATTGGGAGTGGAAATGGAAATGGAAGTGCTGTGGCAGCATTATCTAGTCACATGTCCGACACATATACTAGTACATATACTAAGAACAAATGCCATATAAATATGCTAAAATTACTAAATTGCCCGACAAATTACGGCTAATCCAATAAAAGATGTGACAGCCACACCGAATCATATAACAGACACGTATCCTGGTCGTTATGCCCTATTGCACTATTATTCGGATTATCTTCTTGCGAAATTCAATTTAGTCGCAATTTGAATAATCGCTTTGATAGTATGTGCTATAATCAGAATTTGATTTATTTCTTCCGCAACTCCTCCAAATTGAATGTCATACAAATGACGTGCAAAATTCTTGAAATCTTGAAAATTCCAGCTGCTGAACTACTTTCACATAGCTTATTGGCCAGAAGTGCCAGGTAATTGAGAGCAAAATGTGGCCCGAACGCACTTGACCAAATAAGCACACTCAAAAAAACAAAAAAACAAAAAAAGGTGGAAAGATTGAAAAAGAAAATAACAGACAGCACTCAAGTCCTTTTTTAGATCGGTACTCACAGGCACAAATTGTTCGGTTTCCGAAAAGGTTTGATCTTGTTTGTTTTGGGATCTTTCGAAATCGAAACCGAAACCGTGAACTGACGTCGACAACGCTCAGCGTACGACTAATGCGGGCTACGTAAAGCCAAAACGTAACTTTCGATTGCGCCAAAAGCGAGCGGCGACGGCGGCGGCGGCGGCGACAGCGGCGTCGACGTTGCAGCAAACAACAGTCGCGGCTCGTTCAACGGAATCGGAATTGAAATTGTATTCGGAATTGGAACCGGAGGCTGTTAAGCAGCTCCGACTGTGAGTCGGCTTTTTTTTTTTTTTCGGTACGGACTCTCAAACTTGACTTTGCAGCGATTTTGTTTAAATGAGCTTAAATCGAATTAAACTGTCACGAACGCAGTGAAATTGGAGCTGGCGCACGAGTAGGAAAGCGATGCGAAAGCTCAATGCCAAGCCGCGAGTCTGGTGCACAGCCTTTATAATGCAGCCAAGCGCTCATCACAATAGATCTTCCACACTTGCTCACACCTACATACCTACAAGCATGCATACATGCATACATGCATACATGCATACATGCATACATACATATGTACATGCATACGCATTACTCATACGTCCCGGTGTGCGCAATGACGTTGATTGTAACAAGAGTTTTCGATTTCCAGTCAACTGATAAGACCAACATTGTAAAAGAATTGCCAATACATGACTGGCTGTCTGTCTGTCTGTCTGTTTGTTAACATTGACTCGGAGATTCCGACATGCCCATCTTCAAACCCATTTCCGTATCCATCTCCGCCTTAGCGTCTGTGTGTCATGAGGCGTTCAAACACATGCTTCGGGCTCTATGCTAATTTCCCCCCACTAATTGCCGTGCGGCTGAATCACCTGGCAACTGTTGAGGCTGGGCTACCTAATCTTTCGATTCTAATCGAACCATTGGCCGGCTGAGTTCTCAACTGTTTTGCTGCCAAGAACGCAAATGTTTGCAAAGACTGGCAGTAGTTAAAGTGACGTCAGAAAACAAACCTTACCCCTTTTAAATAGACCAAAGTACCGTTAATCGATTTGAAGACATGTTTGCGTAATTGCTGAGCAAGCAATGACAAAAAACGTATCCATGCGAAATCTTGCGACAGATCGTTCCTATGGCAGCTCTATTACAAAGGAGTCCGATCCGGCCGTAGGTCCTATATTTATGAGGTCTGAAGACGTCTCCGCGCCCATATAGTATACGTACGTACACATGCACGATCCGTATCAACAGCCGTTTTGTATTGTTATAGTTTTTGTTGTCTTCCCATAGATAACCTTAAATGAGACTTCTACTTTAAGGTTCCAAGACAGACAACAGCAATTAGCGCTTATTACGCCTTGGCATATGGCTAAGCTTCTGTTCAGTCCAGTTGCAATAATCTGTAGAATTTATTTTCGCAAAGTGAAAAACCTTTTTGCTACCCAAGTGAAACCAACTTTAAAAAGTAACTGAATTGTTTATTAAAGGTAGTTGTTTTTGTTTGCAAGTGTGAATATATGGTTAGCTCGTTCTGTCCCTTTATAAAGGGCACTTATAGATGAACAACAAATGTTTACGGTTCCATTCGCTTAAACAATGCAAGTGCGACATAAGTTTCTTGATGGCATCGGGCTTGCATTTCAAAGTAAACGCAAATGTCAATTAAAATGGCACTCATCGTGCTTTGTGATAGCTGTTTGTTTATTTCGAATGCTGGATTGCATAACTCCACATTGGAAATTTACGACTGAAAGTGAATCTATTCAGGAAGATAAATAATGTCTAATTTATCCACATGTCATATTACGTCTGATAATAAGCTTAACACTTAGTTGCTTGTCTCAGTAAGTGTGATGATGGATTTGAACTTTTTTTATACCCTGAACCCATTAAAAGTGGGTATAAGGGTATATTGTATTTGTGCGAAAGCCAAATGTGTGTAACAGGCAGAAGGAAGCATCTCCGACCCCATAAAGTATATATATTCTTGATCAGCATCAATAGCCGACTCGATCTAGCCATGTCCGTCTATCTGTCCGTCCGTCCGTATGTATGAACGCAAGGATCTCAGAACCTATAAGAGCTAGAGACTTGAAATTTTAGATGTAGCTGCTCCTAGTTCCCGCGCAGATCGAGTTTGTTTCCGATAATCGATAACTTACTCCGTTTCCAAGCAATCGATAAAAATCGATATCGATATCCTGTTTTTTGGGCAATTTTGGAAAATAATTAGAGCTAGAGTCACCAAACTTGACATATAGCTTCTAAAATAGAATATATATGCATTTGATGTTGGAAGAAGAGGGTTCAGGGTATCCCCTAGTCAGGAGCTCCCGACTAGAACTTCTTACTTGTTTATATATATATATATATATATTTTTTTTTTTTGTAAAGTAATTAATTGCTTTTTATGTAAAATCTTTGAAACTCGATTTTAATATTGAAATCTTCCCTGCGTATATATTGACTCAATTTTATTAACTTATAGTTGAATTACATTTTTTGTTTGCCCATGTTTGCAAAGTTACACGTGCATATAATTGTGCACCTCTATATTTTTTTTAAATTTTATTTTGCCGCAGGGCTAATCAAATTCTCGTGTTGTTTATTTTGATGTATACATATGTGTATAAATATATGTACACATGGATAATTGTTTTTTTCGTATGCCAATTTTACTGCCCTTCAGTGCTTCAAATTTGTAGAAAACCACATTTTTAAATATAGCCCTACTCTGCGGTTCTCATAAATCGAATTAGCTCTTATCTCTGCGTGTAAATATTTGTTAGAAATGAAGCTGGCCATCGAATCAACCTTATGTGAATCTGTGTATGTATTGTTATTTGTGTGTATGTATGCAATACAATCTATGACGTCTGTTGCCAAAGCTAAATTCGTTTATACCCTATGTGTATACTGAAAAACTCATACGCTGTTCGCGCAAATGCGTAATACCCGGCACAAAGATCTGTTTTTCCACGGATTGAAAATCTTTAAAAGCATTTCTGCCATATGGTAGGCCATATATGCACAAGCACATATATATTATCATATATTTTTATTTTTATTTTTGTTTTTATCGACTTCTAGTTTGATTCATTAAATATTCAGGCTGAATACAAACCCTTTTAGGAACATTTTGGTTCAGCTTGCATTTGTGTTTCGGCTCTGGTAAATGTTTATATTTGTGAAAAGTTATTTTCAGTTGCGTTTGCACGGATTGCACTTGCTTTTGCTTTCGTTGGCCCAAAATAGCCAACAACAAATTTGTCACACTGTAAGCGAGTCGCACTTGTAATTTGAATTGATATGTTCACGGCACAGTGTGTCAACGTCTTTCGTCTCTCGTCTCTCGTCTCTCGTCTCTCTGCTGTTAATGTGTGTGTTTTGTTATTCTGTTTCTGTTTTTTTAAATAATGACACAGCAATTCAGAAAATATGTTCAATACATTTTTTAAGACGAAATGTAAAACACATCGGAGTTGTCGGCAGTCGAACACTGAAAACGGCCTCTCGGTCTCGAAGGCATCGGCCCCAATGGCCAGGCCGAAAAAAACAAAAAACAACAAAAATACGCAAAAAAAAAAAAATAAAAATAAAAACAAATCACCAAAATTTCGGACAGACGAATTTGTATTTGTTTGTTGTTTTTATTGAGCTTTTCTGTTGTCTCGAAATAAATGTACGAGTATATCGTACATTTAGTGCATAGTATAGATTTGTATTTAAGTGTCTGAATCGTCTCTTGTTGTTTATCTGGTGACGTTCGAAGAGAAACGCAAATAATTCAACAACAAATAAGAAGTGCTAAATATTTCAGATTCTTTTGTTTCATTTTTGAACCTTCAAAGACAATTTTCATGGTTTTTTGCTTCGAAACTGCGCTAATTGATTGATATTTAGCATTATTATTTATTTTTATTTCTTGCCTTTTTTTTATACCCTGAACCCATTAAAAATGGGTATAAGGGTATATTGTATTTGTGCAAAATCCGAATGTATGTAACAGGCAGAAGGAAGCATCTCCGACCCCATAAAGTATATATATTCTTGATCAGCATCAATAGCCGACTCGATCTAGCCATGTCCGTCTGTCTGTCCGTCCGTCCGTCCGCCCGTATATATAAGAGCTACAGACTTTTAGATGTAGCTGCTCCTAGGTCCCGCGCAGATCGAGTTTGTTTCCGATAATCGATAACTTACTCCGTTTCCAAGCAATCGATAAAAATCGATATCGATATCCTGTTTTTTGGGCAATTTTGGTAAATAAAAAGAGCTAGAGTGACATATAGCTTCTAAAAAAGAATATATATATGCATTTGATGTTGGAAGAAGAGGGTTCAGGGTATCCCCTAGTCGGGAGCTCCCGACTAGAACCTCTTACTTGTTTTTCTTTTCGATTAAGCGAAAAATGTTGTGGCAGACTTTTCGCTGTAAATAACTGAATTCAATGGCGACAAATATGTCGTAAATTGTTTACTATCTCATTGCTGTTCATCTTCAGCACGGCACGCTTAGCTACAAAATAGTTGAGTTCATTTGTTGTTGTTTTAATTGTAAGAATAATTATTTAGATTTTACAGCTGAGTGCGTTGCGTGTGGCTGCCAAAAAGGCGGTCGACTTAAAGCTATCGATATTAACGATTGCCGGCCAGGATGGAGGTTGTTATCGAAGTGGCAATTAATCGATAACTGCGCCTTACTTCCGCATTGCTGTAAGCCCAGCAGCTGCGCATGCGTCGCAGTTGCACGTGCGAAAATCGTGACGGAATTGGCAATTCGCCAATTGCCAGCAATAGATAACTATGGGAGTCAACAAAACTGTGTGCATGCCTATGTGTGTACGTGTGTGCGATGTATGTATGTATGTACATGTGCATATATGTTAGTGTGTGTATGCACATATGGAAATGCAACGGTTTCAATTGTTTCAACATTCTGAAGCGTCACTGCCGCTGCGCTTAGCCACATTTAGCTGACGTTGACGTCAACGGCCGGCTATTGTGTAGCCGGCGCAGCAGCAGCAGCGGCAGCATCAGCGACAACAATAATTGATTTTGATAACAGCTTAGTTAATTTCACTGTCAAAAAGCTTGCTCCGACCCCCCCTCCCATTCGCCTGCCAGTCCCGTTCAGTCATTCAGTCGCAAAGCCTGTTGCCCACTCCCACTAAATTCAAATTGCCGTTGCGGCTGATAAATTACACTAATCGTTGCGCTGTGCTGCGACGCCAGCGGCGACATCGACTTATTTTTTTTTTTTTTTTTTTTTTGTTTTGCATTGTTTGCGTGTTTTGCTTAGTCTTCGTTATCGACTCCGTCTCTACTTTTCTCGCTCGCGCTAAGCACGACTTGAAAGCCCGCTAAACAGGAAAGGAAAACGAAGCTTAAGTGCCGTTATTGAAATTCGACCGCTTTTATGCATGTACATATATGTACAGACATACATGCACAGAAAGTAAATTGCATACTTAGTATACATATATAATACATTTCAATTTATTTGTTTGTGACTGCAGAAGTTGACAAGTTGTTATTCGGCCTCGTCTGTAATTTTCCAAACAACATTTGACAAACACACTCGTACGAAACGGCAAAGGCGTCGAATATATACCGTGTCTGTGAAAAGTTATCGCACGCATCTAAAGTGTCAGCGAATGCAATTATCGATAACAAAAAATGTATTAACATATTTTGAAATTCCTTTTTTGAAAATGTCGAAAATGTTAAACGCTCTGCATATTCAGTAAGCGCAGATACACTTTTATAAGCTTCGTTTTTTGTCCAAAAAGATATTTGCATATACTCCCAAAAAGTATGCTATCTTCTACAAGCTGTACCTCAACGATGCAGCGAAGAAGTGGAAAGACTCTATACGCATCCACACATATGTTAATTGATATTTGGCCCTAGCCAAAGGGGAGACGACTGGCTTTAGCCTGTAAGATTCTAGAAAACACCCCTCCACCCGTTCTATATTGCACGATTCGCCAGGATTTGTTGGGTGGGGTTTGGATGTTTGTATTTCAAAATAATCTGTATCAATTTTAGCAAACGGTTTCTGTTATCATCGCTGTTGTGGTCCCGTTAATGTCAGTATGAAAATTCGATATAGTCGAAATCTGAGCGTTGGACTCAATCTAGTAATCTGCTCAGCATTTGCCAACTACAGCGAATTAATGCTGCCCTTCTTGTTCTTATTCATGCCAAGGTATTCCCACCAAGATGTCGGCTTGGCGGGGCCGGCAGCCGCTGCAGCCGGTGCTTGAGCCACTGCAGTGCCGGCCGCCTGGGCAGCAGTGCTAGCTGAGGACTCCTTCAGACTGGCTGCGGCCGCAGTATTATGGCTGGCCTTGACAGGCATGCCGGACTCCTTCTTGGACGCCCTCACGCTGTTCACATTGGTGGTCTGAATTGTCGCGTTCGATTGCTGCGGTGTCGGTGCCAGGCTGGGGCGTGGCGTCCCAGTTGCACTAGTCCGGCGGCGTTGCCCGCTCGAGAACAGTTTACCCAGGTACGGCATGCACATGGCGCAGGATGATATTCGTTTGCGTATCAGAAATTTTGAACTTGCGAAAGGTCGAAATATATGTGTGTTAATGTTAAGCTAGAGTCCTTGTCTATTATGGCATTTCATGTCAGCTTCCCGGCAAGGCAAGCTGCCTGAGCGCTGGCGCACTGCTTGCTGTGACAGCCAGTCACAAATTCAAATAAACAAAACAAAACAAAACAAAACAAAACAAAACAGTGTTGGTTAGTATCAACAGCCGAGTCAATAGTCTCTCAGTTTGAAAGCTATCGTCATGAAACTTTGGAGAAGTCCCTCTTTCTGTTGCACGCAGTACATATGTCGGAATCGGCTGGATCGGACCACTATATTATTTTTAAGTAATAAAAACTATATTAAGAAATAAAAGTGCAAATAGTAGTAGATTTTATACCCTGAACCCATTGAAAATAGGTAAAAAGGGTGTATTGTATTTGTGCAAAATGCAAATGTATGTAACAGGCAGAAGGAAGCATCTCCGACCCCATAAAGTATATATATTCTTGATCAGCATCAATAGCCGAGTCGATCAAGCCATGTCCGTTTGTCTGTCTGCCCGTCTGTCCGTATGTATGAACCGAAGGATTTCAGAACCTATAAAAGCTAGAGACTTGAAATTTTAGAGGTAGATGCGCATAGTGCCTGCGCAGATCGAGTGCTTAATAATCGATAACTTACTCTGTTTCCAAGCAATCGATAAAAATCGATATCGATATCCAGTTGTTTGGACAGTTTTGGTAAATAATAAGAGCTTGAGTCACCAAACTTGACATAAAGCTTCTAAAAAAGAATATATATATGCATTTGATGTTTGAAGAAGGGCAACCCCTAGTCGGGAGCTCCCGACTAGAACCTCTTACTTGTTTTTATTGTAATTAAAAAGTAGAAATGGTCGTAATGAGGGAATACAAATAATATTAATTTAATTTAAAGAAATTGTATATGTAAATACTTGCATCGACTTTAAAATACATTTGTATTTTCTACGGAGCCAACCTCAGTACAAAACATGCATTCATAAGTCAACACAAACTAAGAAAATGTATTTCTTGGCCAGCCAGAGACTTTGCCAGAGCAGTGCAGATAACAACACATACAAGTATGCTGTTATGCATGTATATTCACACGCATACAAACATAATTGCTTGCACGGCCCTCATAGAGCCGAAGCTGAGAGCAAATTCTATTTTTAGATTTTTCGTTCTCTCGGCTGTGAGAGCACAATGCTACAGATTTCGTTTTCGTTCTCAATTTCCAAAAATCAAGCTACATAGTAGCATTTTGTTGTATGGCGTTACTCATCTTAGTGTTTATATTGTCTTTGGTTTTACTATGTTTTCTAAAATTATGCAAAATCTTAATAACATCGGACCACTATATATATAGAAAAGGTTGGTGCTGCAAGGGCACTAAATCTCCAAATAAAACTTGAATGTGACTTTTTAATATTTGTTAGTTGCACAAATTAAGACAGGTATTCTTTAAAACAGGTCTGAAATAATTGTCGGTTCACGGCTTCAATCAGCTGCCTGTCTATCTACTGAAACCAGGTTCAGGTTCAAACCCGCTCTAATGAAAATATTTTCAAATAGAAATTGCGGATTAAATTTGAATCTTTAGAAAGTTATATTTGTAATCTGAATTTACTTTAAATGTTTTTTTTAAATGATTTTATTTTCAAGCATCCTATTTTTGAATCAACATCGAATCGGTTTCGGTTCCGTTGTTTTTTTGGATTCTGGTTCAGTTGGTAAATGATTATGCTGTCAAAATCAAGCAGCCTGTTCTTTGACTTGGTTACTTGTAATACAAATACATAATAGGTCATTGATTTAGTTTACACCCAGAAACTAACACAAAAGAAAACTGTCGAGAGTAGCTAAAACCAACTTAAAATGTAGCTCATTGAGCGTGTTGAACCACAGTGCAGACGCCGCTTGGGGGCAAGTAGGTAGCTCCAAAGAATGTATAAATACTTCAGATTCTATATATAGACGCGCACCATCTGCTGTTGCCTGCATGCGGCTGGAGAAGTGCGTGTCTTAGTTTGTTACGAACCAGCGAATGGCATCCATGGCTTCCTTTGGTACACGCAGCATGAGCCAGCCGCCGGGTATTAAGATCTGCTGCTGCCGTATCCTGACTTGCATCAACTTTGGCTTTGTGCTCTCGCGGGGCGGACTCCTGAAGCTAATGGAGCTGGGCCTGGCCATGTTGTGTGAGGGTCTGCTTATACGTTATGGTGTACCCTACGCGGACTCCATTGGCCAGGCGCTGACCAGTCTATTGGCCACAACTGGCCATTGCTTCACCACGACAGGCATCTTGCTCATATGCTACTGTTTCTCGGATAGATCCTATGGCCTGATCCGACAGTCGCTCTTCGTAAGTATATCCAACATCCAGGTCATTGACCCAATATACAATCTTGGCCATTTTGCAGGAGACGCTCTTCAATGCCATCGCCAGCTGCATGTACTTCAGTTCGGCCAGCTATATGGGATTCGCCTGTGTCGTCTGGCTGCATCCTCAGTTTCTGGTGCGTCCCGGATTCTGGGCGTATCCAGCCATGACCGCCGCCTACGTAAGCCACTGTTTACCATCTGCTAGTTCCATAAGAAAATATATTGTCTCTATTTTTTTTTTTAATTCATATTTTGCAGTACATGGGCTATGCGGCGGGACTTTTGCACGCCATCGACGCATTTCTCGCCTTCAGGCATTTTAGAGGGGTTCGTTAGGAACTAATTACTGTATGTTACAGATATTAAATAAAGCTCGTGATTATTTGAATATGCTAGCATAAATGAAAACTCACAGAAAACTAACATATGTTATAGGAGAGGTATTCTCATACCAGGTCTTATAAGTGGAATACATCGCATATATCAATTAGAAAACCATTCTTGCTTAAAGTAGTTTAGTATAAATATTATACTTATTAATATTATATGGAACCATTAGCTTCATCTCATAAGTTATCTTTATGGTGAAAAGACTGCAAGCCAAAAAAAAACACTTTTTTATACCCTGAACCCATTGAAAATATGTAAAAAGGGTATAATGTATTTGTGCAAATGTATGTGACAGGCAGAAATTATTATTATTTTTAAGAAATAAAATAAAATTAACTAAAAGAGTGCTCATTTTTTGTCTCTTAAGATACATTTTATCAATTGTTCTTGTTTTTTTTTTTTTTTTCAATTATTTCTTTCTTAAATTATAAAGTACAAAGCAATTTAATCTATTTGTATTTTTGGCACTCTTTTATTTCTTAATTGGGGAATAGAAATAATAATAAATAATGAATCATTTAATTTAAAGAAATTATTTAAATATTTGCAACAACTTAAAAATACAGAATATCTACCGAACCAACCTCAGTACACAACATGCACTCATACATACAAATTTGGGCTAGGTCACGATCAGTGCTAGAAAAGCCAGCAGCAAAAGCCAGTGCTTGCACGGCCCTCATAGAGCCGAAGCTGAGAGTGAATTCTATTTTTAGCTTTTACGCTCTCTCAGCTGTGAGAGCGCGCAATGACACTGATTACGTGTTTGTTCTCAATTTTCAAATAGTTGCATTTTGTTGTACAATTTTTCTTTAATAACGTTTGTGTGTTAATATTATATGGAACCATTAGCTTCGTCTCATAAGTTACATTTATTGTAAAAAGGGCTACAAGCCCAAAAAACATATTTTGTTGTTGTTTCGGTTCACTGCTCGAACCAACTTCAAGCCTTGAGATTTGGTCCGTGAAACTCTGCTCTTGGTTCAAAACTTTGTTTATAATTTATTTTTCAAATTTAGTTAAATTTTTTAGGCATACAATTGCCCATTCTACTGAAAATATTGCAAACCGTTAATGTTTTTTATACCCTGAACCCATTAAAAATGGGTATAAGCGTATATTGTATTTGTGCAAAATGCAAATGTGTGTAACAGGCAGAAGGAAGCATCTCCGACCCCGTAAAGTATATATATTCTTGATCAGCATCAATAGCCGACTCGATCTAGCCATGTCCGTCTATCTGTCCGTCCGTCCGTATGTATGAACGCAAGGATCTCAGAACCTATAAGAGCTAGAGAAATAGAGAAAATGAAATTTTAGATGTAGCTGCTCCTAGTTCCCGCGCAGATCGAGTTTGTTTCCGATAATCGATAACTTACTCCGTTTCCAAGCAATCGATAAAAATCGATATCGCTATCCTGTTTTTTGGGCAATTTTAGTAAATAATAAGAGCTAGAGTCACCAAACTTGACATATAGCTTCTAAAAAAGAATATATATATGCATTTGATGTTGGAAGAAGAGGGTTCAGGGTATCCCCTAGTCGGGAGCTCCCGACTAGAACCTCTTACTTGTTTAATATTATGTTTATGCAAATGGCTTGGGTATGCAAAGTAAGTATATTGATTTAGATGAAGCTACCTATTTATATGGTTTGAATAAATCCAGTGGAGAGAGCTCGATTGGGACAGTACTTCGTTTAGCACAATTTAATGAATCTCACTTGAGATACTCCAAAAAAGGTGAACTTTGCAAGCGAAACGTTTTTTGGCCAACAACTTTTTTTTAATGAATGCCATATGATAGTAGGGATCCGTACGCATTCAAAAAGGTATAACATTTTAAAATGAGATTATATTTACCCGAGATTTTCAAAACAAACGTCAAACAAGTTGAGATATTCAAACCTACCCCGATTTTGGAAAAAAACGTGATGTAACCCCTTGCTATTTGGTCGATTTGGCTCAAAATTTAGATTTTTATTTTTCTGATGCCGATCGATAGTACTGATCCTTACGAGTCAAAAATAGTATAAAATTCCAAAATCTGAGATTATTTGGCCAAGATAGTCTAAAAAAATGATCAAAAAAGGTTGATTTTACAAACGAAACGTTTTTTGGTCAACAACTCATTTCAATCCATCAATTTTTTATTTATTTGAATGCCGTATGATAGTAGGGATTCGTACGAATTCAAAAAGGTATAACATTACAAAAACAGGATATATTTACCCGAGATTTCAAAAAAAAAAATCGTCAAAAAAGTTTGTTTTTTTTTTAACATATATATGTTTATTGTATTGAATCAAAAAATAGCATACATTTTTATTACAAAACCGTTTACTTAAGTGGTATCTCGCCAATCCTGGTTGGCTCCTCAGGCTTTATCGTGGACAAGCATCAAAGCCGTCTTCTTTGAGTAAGGCTGCACCGTCACGTAGGTAGTCGGTGGGCTCTGGGGCTGCTCCTGTGTCGTGGTTGGAGGAGGTCTTTAAAGGATCTTTTCTTGAAAGGTCTCTTGTATTGGTTGGCGAATGCTTCGACTCTAAGATTACTTGGCCGAGATAGTCTAACAAATCAACAAAAAAGGTTGAATTTACCAACGAAACGTTTTTTGGTCAACAACTTTTTCCAACCCATCAATTTTTAATTTCTTTGAATGCCATATGATAGTAGGGATCCGTACGAATTCAAAAAGGTATAATATTTTAAAATCAGATTATATTTACCCGAGATTTTCAAAAAAATATTCAAAAAAGTTTTGATATTCGTACCTAAACCGGGTAATAGCTCTCGGGTAATAGCTCCGCGCGGAGATATGACGTTCCAAAACGACATAAATCCGCGCGGAGATATGACGTTCCAAAACGACACAACTCCGCGCGGAGATATGACGTTCCAAAACGACAAGCCTCCGTGTGAAGATATGACGTTCCAAAACGACATAACTCCGCGCGGAGATATGACGTTCCAAAACGACATAACTCCGCGCGGAGATATGACGTTCCAAAACGACATAACTCCGCGCGGAGATATGACGTTCCATAACGACATAACTCCGCGCGGAGATATGACGTTCCAAAACGACATAACTCCGCGCGGAGATATGACGTTCCAAAACGACATAACTCCGCGCGGAGATATGACGTTCCAAAACGACATAACTCCGCGCGGAGATATGACGTTCCAAAACGACATAACTCCGCGCGGAGATATGACGTTCCAAAACGACATAAATCCGCGCGGAGATATGACGTTCCAAAACGACATAACTCCGCGCGGAGATATGACGTTCCAAAACGACATAACTCCGCGCGGAGATATGACGTTCCAAAACGACATAAATCCGCGCGGAGATATGACGTTCCAAAACGACACAACTCCGCGCGGAGATATGACGTTCCAAAACGACAAGCCTCCGTGTGAAGATATGACGTTCCAAAACGACATAACTCCGCGCGGAGATATGACGTTCCAAAACGACATATTTCCGCGCGGAGATATGACCTTCCAAAACGACATATTTCCGCGCGGAGATATGACCTTCCAAATCACGTTTTTTTTTTCGAAATCGAGGTCGGTGCGAAAATCGAAACTTTTGCGATGATTTTTTTTAATATCTCGGGTAAATAATGTCTGATTTTAAAATGTTATACCTTTTTGAATGCGTACGGATCCCTACCATCAATTGGCATTCAAACAACAACAACAAATCCCAAATTACATTAAGGCTTAGTTACTTTTTATACCTTAAGAATAATAATAATAAATTTAAACCTGCATACAAGGTTCTTATAATTTGTATACCCTGAACTTGTATATCCTTTTAAGATTGTTACGTTGATTCTGTTTACTTATGTATTTTAATATTTAACATATCTTTCTTTCCTTCCCATCAAACATTTTAACTTTTTAATATTAATCAGTCCAAACCCATTATGGTGTTGCATTTTTAATACTCGTGAGATATGTACTATATGTGGAATAGGCCTTATTTTCTCACTTGATCTCGCCCAGATGCCAAAGAATTGTAATCCACAATTATTGTTTAGATGCATTTATGCAATTAGGTACGGTAAATGTGTTATACAGAAATATAAGTACATATTAAAAGGCACCATTAGTTGAGAGATTTACAATAAAAGCATATAAATATGTATGTAAAATATGATGTAAATGGACTGGTTCGATTATCTTGGGCTTGGTTTGCATACTGTTGGGCTTTAGCCCGATAGCACCATGTGCAACAGCCTGCCGATTGTGAAAGGCAGCCGCCTTTAAGCCATTTTGTTAGCCGCTTTGAATTTCCTATTGAATAGCAAAATATTTAAATAAAAAAATCTGTTGACCAACTGGAGCGTAGCAATATACTTAAGTTGTTTCAGCGCCTGGCTGGTCTCGAAGTCGGCTTTAAGCAATCCAATGCGCACCCAGCGCGGACGCTCGTGAATCACCTTGTGTATGATGAATTTGAGCCCCAGCAGGAGATGCTCAAAGATGACGAACGAGAGATCCGGTATGGAGGGCACCCAGTGTGAAAAGAATTGCCTGTAAAGTGCGAACGAGATGTTATAATGGGTATTCAAAAAACAACCACAAGAGATTGCTACTCACTTGACATTCGGCTGGAGGAAGAGCAGGCCGCAGTTGCTCAGCAGCGACATGACGGATAGCAGCTCGAAGGCCAGCTGCCAGGCACCAATATTCTTGGCGCGACGGGCAAATGGACGCTTGAAGATGTTGCACAGCTTAAACATGTCAATGTGCACGGCAAATACATTGTTGATGAGGGCGCCAATGGCGGCGAAGGGCGCAACGGCGGCAAAGAGCACGACATAGCCAAACTGTATGCAAACCTGCAGGTAGTCCTCGTAGGTGGAATGATAGGCATCCAGGCCGGACTCATAAAATGCTTGCTCGTAGCGTGGCTTATTGCTGATAGCGCTCAATTTCTCCGGCTCCACCTCCTTGTGGCGATACTTGGCGTATTTCTGGCGCAGCACGGCCATCAGCGGTATGCCAATTTCCTGTGCTATGCACAGCAGCTGGAAGATGAGCAGCTGCATCATCAGCTGGTACTTGAGTTG